GAAGCCAGACTAAGAAAGTCAGGATTAGGGGCTTCATTAAATTATAGAATCTTACCACGCCTGGGGTCATCTGGCCTGGCCCCTCTGTAATGCAGGAATCAAAGCTAAAGAATCCCTGTCATATGACTGTCCAAACTCTACTTAAAAACCTCATATCAAAGAATAATGGAATTATACAATTGGAAGTACCCCCAAGGATCATCTAGTCCGATCCCCTGCAAGGTAGGAATTATAGAGAAAGAATCCCTGACAGATGGACATCCAACATCTGTTTTAAAACCTCCACTGAATCCTAGAATTTCAGAATTGTAGGGTTGGAAGGGAACCCAAGGGTCATCTAGTCCAACCCCCTGCAATGCACTGCTTTCTTTGACTTAGTACCTTCCAAGTACTGGCCACGCCAGTTGGGACTGATGAGTACTTCATGATAGACTGGCAGGTATTTTTGGCTGGCACCTGGTTAATAGCCCTATTCATATTTTATATTTCTGACAACTTGGCTGATTGGCCAGGCTAAAACAAATACAAGAGACTCTTCCCTGTGCAGAGGTAGGACTAGATTACCCTTGGGGGTCCCTTCCCACCCTAAAATTCTATGATCCTTTAAAAATGCTTTCAGATCCATTTACCTTTGGCTGGCAGCCTGGACAAGAGGCTGTCTACTCCTCTTCCCATAACTGTGTGTTTATTTAATAAGGCTTAGAATATTAATTTAGCCAAAATGAAGGATAACTACCAGTAGTCTGAATGCAGAGACTGGAAGAAATATGCCCGTTAGAGTTCCCAAACTCTTACCCTGCTTGCAATCTATTTTCAAATTCTGGGGCCAGATGAGCAAGTTCAACAGTTGCAGATCTCAGACAGAGGTGGCTGTGGAAGGTGCAGTGCACAGAATGATTTCTGCCACTCCCCAGAAGAAGAAAACACATGTGGTGGGGGTAAGTGACTCCCCACTGAGGGGCACAGAGGCAGCAGTGTGCGGAGGTAACAGGATGTCCCAGAAGGTGTGCTTCCAGGTGGAAAGATTCGTGATGTGACAGAAAAGTTGGCAAGACTTATAAAGCTCACTGACCAAAACGCCTTCCTTCTGATTCATTTCAGTATACAAGATACTGCTAGACACAGCCTTGAACATATAACCTGGGACTGTGGGACTCTGGGTGGGAAGCTGAAGTGTCTTGGGGCACAGGTGGTTTTTTTCATCACTCCTTCCTATTGAAGGCCATGGCCCAAGAAGAGAGGGGAAATTATTGGAAATAAATCACTGGCTGTGCATGTGGTGCCACCAAGAAGGGTTGGGCCTCTTGGACCATGGTCTCTGCTTCCTGGAGGAAGGAATTGAGATGGGTTGCATCTTACAGTAGATGGCAAGAATGTGTTTGCTAAGAGTCTCGCAAACCTGATCAGAAGAGCTTTAAACTAAATCCTGAGGGGGAGGGATATAACACTACAGAAGACAAGGGAACATGTAGTATTGGAGACAATAGCTTCAATGATGCACAGGAAACTGAGATGGTGCTCCAGAAACCTACTGAAGAGCAGAGAACTACAAGAAGGAAGCAGCTGGAGGGAATGACTTGTGGTTTCAGTTGTTTCTATACTAATGCACAGAGTGTGGCAAATAAGCAAGATGAATTGCTGTTAATATAGCATGGCAAATATGACCTAAGAAGGCGTTGTTGAAACTTGGTGGACTGGATTCATGACATGGAATGTAAGAATTGAGGAATATAACCTGTAGGCCAAACAGGAAGGGAGGATAATATGTAAAGGATGTGTGCACTTGTAAAGAGATCCATGACTTAGAATCATAGAATCAAAGAATTGTAAAGTTGGAAGGCACCCCAAGGGACATTTAGTCCAACTTCTGCAATACAGGAGTCCCATGGAAGGCAGATTAAGAGTATAATAATAATAATAATAATTTTTTATTTATACCCCGCCCTCCCCAGCCAAGGCCGGGAGCGGCTTACAAGCAATAATAAAAACAAGTTGAATGATTACAACTTAAAAACAAAGTTAAAATACATTCAAATATTACAACATTAAAATAAAATGTAGCCTCAACGCAGGAGGAGAAGGAAAGAAAAAAAGAGAGAGTGAGGGAATCAAATTGGCTCCAAGCCAAAGGCCAGGCGGAACAACTCTGTCTTACAGGCCCTGCGGAAAGAAATCAGATCCTGCAGGGCCCTGGTTTCATGAGGCAGAGAGTTCCACCAGGCCGGAGCCAGAGTTGAGAAGGCCCTGGCTCTGGTTGAAGCCAATCTAACTTCCTTAGGGCCCAGGACCACTAGGGTGTTGCTATTTATGGACCTTGAGGCTCTCCGTGGGGCATACCGGGAGAGGCGGTCTCGTAGGTACGAGGGTCCTAGGCCGTGAAGGGCTTTAAAGGTCAAAAGCAGCACCTTAAATCTGACCCTGTACTCTACCGGGAGCCAGTGCCGTTTGAAAAGCACTAGGTGAATATGCTCCCATGGCAGAGACCCCGTGAGGAGCCTCGCTGCAGCATTCTGCACCCGCTGGAGTTTCTGGGACAGCTTCAAGGGCAGCCCCGCGTAGAGCGAATTACAGTAGTCAAGCCTGGAGATGACCATCACGTGGATCACTGTGGCCAGGTCGGGGCGGGAAAGGTAAGGGACCAACTGCTTGATGCGGCGAAGGTGGAAAAATGTCGCCTTGGCTGTTGCTGTAACTTGCACCTCCATGGAAAGGGAGGCGTCAAGGATTACACCCAAACTCTTAACGGAAGGCACTGGCACTAATTGGGCCCCCACAAGAGAAGGGAATTGGTCCTTCATCCCCAGGCCATCCCGACCCAGCCATAGGACCTCTGTCTTTGAAGGATTTAGTTTCAATCGGCTTCCACAAAACCATCTAGCCACAGCTTCAAGCATCTGGTCAGTGTGTTCGGGGCCAAGTCGGTGTGGCCATCCATCAACAGATAGAGCTGAGTGTCATCAGCATACTGGCGACAGCCCAGCCCAAAGCTCCGGATAATCTGGGCAAGGGGGCGCATAAAAATGTTAAAAAGCATCGGGGAGAGAATTGCGCCCTGTGGCACTCCACACACCAAGGAATGGCGCGACGACATTTCCCTCCCTAGTGCCACCCTCTGTCCCCAACCAGAGATAAAAGAGCACAGCCAGTTACGGGCTATGCCCTGTATCCCCACATCTGTGAGGCGGTGGTCCAGAAGATCATGATCAACCATGTCAAAGGCCGCTGACAAATCTAAAAGGATCAGCAGTCCTGACCCGCCTCGATCCAGTTGTCTACGGCGATCATCTGTTAGGGCAACCAGAGCCGTCTCCATCCCAAAACCAGGATGGAAACCGGACTGAAATGGATCTAATGCCGATGTTTCCTCCAGAAACCTACCAAGCTGTTCAGCAACCGCTCTCTCAATTACCTTACCCTGATATGGAAGATTTGAAACTGGGCGGTAATTGGATAGGTCTAAGGGATCTAATGAAGTTTTCTTTAAGAGTGGACACACTACTGCTTCCTTCAGTTCCCCTGGGAATGTCCCCGTGTCAAGGGACAAATTGATAATTTCAACCAGGGGGGTCCACGCAACATCTGGACACTCCCTAATCAGCCAAGATGGGCACGGATCAAGGAGGCAGGTGGTGGGCCTACCAACTTGGAGGAATCTATCCACATCAGCAGGGAGTATCCGATCAAAATGGTCCAACACTGGACCTGAAGTCAGTCGAGGGGCCTCCAGTTCAGTAACTGTATCTAAATTAGCAGGGAGGTCACGGCGGAGCAACAGGACTTTCTCCGCAAAAAAGCTCGCGAATGCCTCACAGCTGTGGGTCGAATTTGTGCTTAAATTTTGTTGTTCTCCTAAGGACGTTATTGACCTAATTATTCTAAAACGTTGTGCCGGGCGAGAGCTAGCGGATGCAATGGAAGCTGCAAAGTAACATTTCTTAGCAGCTTTCAAAGCCATCTCATAGGCTTTCATAAGTGTCCTATAAGATGTTCTTGAGGCTCCGTCACGAGTCCGTTGCCATACTCGCTCTAGCCATCTGAGATCCCGCTTCATTTTCCGGAGCTCCTCAGTAAACCAAGGGGCCTGGTTTTGACGGGGTCGCAGAGGGCGCTTAGGCGCGATCTTATCAATGGCTGCCAAGAGCCGGTTATTCCAGTCCTCAACAAGGTCATCTAATGAGTCACCAGGAGGAGCAGGGTCCCACAAGGCTTGTCGGAATCTATCAGGAGCCATCTGTTTTCACGGACGAGCCCAAATAGGTTCGCCACCCGAGCAGGGGAGGAGCGGGAAGTCAATCTTGGCTTTCAGAGCGTAGTGATCAGACCATGGCACTTCCACAGGGGGAAGCATGATCACATCTATGCCAGCCCCAAAGATCAGATCCAGCGTGTGGCCTGCTTGATGAGTGGGGCCCAAAACAAACTGGGAGAGCCCTAGTGTTGCCATGGAAGTCAGTAGGTCCAGAGCCTGTGAGGAGAGAGCGGCATCGGCATGGACGTTGAAGTCTCCCAAAACCAGTAGGATAAATATATGTGGAAACCAGTATGTGGATAAATATTGTAGGAAAGAGAAACAACAACAAGCTTGCTGTGGGTGTCTGCTATAGATCTTCGGCAGATTGAAGACTTCGATGATGCAGATGACCAAACATTCAAAAATGAGAGATATACAGTAGTAGCAAAGAGAGACTTTAACTACCACAATATCTGTTTGAATTCAAACTCTGGCAAGAATGTAAGTATGAGGAAGTAGGAAGTATGAGGTGAGATCCCATGGTCAGAAATTCTCAGAGAGAAAGTAGTCCAAGATGGATGGAAGTTTCTTAAAGGTGAAATATTGAACGCACAATATTTTATGCCATAAAACCTATTAAAGAGAGCTCAATTCCCCCCTTCCTTTTTTTGCTCCTGGATAAACCTAGGCCATTCTGGCATAGCAAAACCAAAGTATGGGCCAAGCAGTAGGAAGAGTGAGGGCCAAGGGCTGCCTCGGAGGGCAGTGAGGGTGTCCAGGAAGGAAGGAAGGAAGGAAGGAAGGAAGGAAGGAAAAGAGGGAGGATGAACCAAACAAGTGCCTACTTAATCAGTCCAGTGGCCCATCTCTTCCAGCATCCTGTTCTCACAGTCACCAACCAGGCTCTGAAATTCCTTCCTTCCTTCCTTCCTTCCTTCCTTCCTTCCTTCCTTCCTCTCTCTCATCTTGGACAACTCTCTCTTCTATGCATTTGTCTAATCCACTATTAAAGCCATCTAAACTGGAAAAGGAGGAGGAGGAAGAAACAGGAGGAGGAGGTGATGGAGCTTCTCAACTCCCTCCAGCTGCAACACCAAATCTCACAGGGGTGAGGCTGCCCCATAGACAGACCCATAAAAAGGCAATTGGAGAAATTGGACAGATTTATATGCACCCCCACTCCACCCGGTCGCTCCAAGGTCACTAACCTGTTGGTTTTATTTGCCTTTAAATGCTCTGAGCAATCAGTGGCTGGTATGAATAATGAATACAGAGGATTGCTCAGAAATGGGGTTGGGGTGGATTGTAACATTTTGTTGAGAGGAGGGTCCTGATGGATCAGGCCAACGGCCAATCTCATCCAGCAGCCTATTCTCACAGGGCCTTCCATGTTTCTTTCTATCTCATCCTTTCCTTTCCATTCTTTCACTGCACTTTTGCCCCTGGCCATCCTCCTCCTTTTCCCTGCTTCCCACTCTTCTCTTCCAGCTCTCACTTTCTCCAAGTTTTTCTAGCCACCCATTTTAGCTGTGACTTCTGCATTGCAGGGGGTTGAGTTAGATCGCCCCTGGGGTTACCTTCCAGTTTTAAAAATTGTATGATTCATTTGAGGTTTCTAAGCAGAGCTTGGATGGCCACCTGCCAAGGATTCTTTAGCTGTGATTCCTGCCTTGCAGGGGGCTGGGCTAGATGACTCTTGGGGCTCCCTTCCACCTTGACAATTCTGTGATTCTATGAGAGTCAGCTGGCCTCTGTCAGGGCATGGCTGGGCCACCTCCGTAGCTGTGCAGCTCCATGAAGCACAATGAGAGTTTCAAAATGCAGACTCCCCCTAATGGAATCAGCACCGCAGAAACAGCTAATGTGAGGATAATGCATTCCCAGCATTCCTGTGGCTACACAGATTCTTTCCATCCTTTCATCCTCCTGCATTGTCTTCTCTTGGCAGTCATCTGGGAAACAAGTAAATTCTGGGCGTAATTAGACTTAATAATCCAGTGGTTTTCTTTCTGCCCATCATTTACTGGTGAGGGGAGATACATAGATGATAGATAGATGGTAGGTAGGTAGGTAAATGATGATAGATCAATCAATCAATCAGTAGATAGATAGATAGATAGATAGATAGATAGATAGATATAGATATAGATAGATAGATAGATAGATAGATAGATCGTGTATTTGTGGGGGTGGGGAGGAGAAGGAAATATTGTTTTCTCCCATCTTTTGCTGAGCCCAGCCCAGCCCATTAGATTTCAATTTGCTTTTCATGGTTGCTAGCCGTAATGTACATTTTCTGCCTCCACAGTCAGGAGGCAGCAATGCTTCTGAATACCAGTTGCTGGAAACTGCAGGAATTGATAGTTGCTCTTATGCTTGAATCCTATTTGTAGGTTCCACATAATGTCCATCTGGTCGGCCACTGTAAGAACAGGATGCCGTACTCGGCAAGCAAATGAGCCCTCCTGTGGTTTCCAGCAACTGGTGTTCAGAATCATGATGCCTCCAGCTGTAGTTATCGACAACCCTTTCCATGAATATGTCTAATCTTCTTTTAAAGCCATCCAAATCCATGGCCAGCACTGTCTCCTGTGGGAGTAAGTTCCACAGGTTAACTGTGCACTGCACATTTACTCCTCCAGCAATACACCTAAAAACCTTCTTAAAAACCTTCAGTGAAGGAGTCTACCACCTTCTGAGCTAGTCTGCTACACTGCTGAACAGCTCAGAAAATCCTCTGGAGCAGCAGAAATCAGCCCCTCAGATATTTTAAGGTGCGTATTTCCCACACACACCCTCAGTCTTCTCTTCTGCAGGCTAAGTACAAATGAGATAATTCATACACAAAGTACTCTATCTTCTATTTGACAGCCCTTTAGATATCTGAAGACAGCCATCATATGTCCTCTCCATCTTATATTTCGTTGCATCTTATATTTGTTGCATCTGATTATTCCTGCCTAAAGGGACCAATTGGGACCAATGTAAAGTTCTGCATTTAGGCAGGAATAATCAGCTGAACAATGATAAGGCAGAGGACACCTGGCTTGCCAATTGTACTTGTGAAAAAGATCTAGTGGTCTTAGTGGACCACAAGCTTAACAGGAGTCAACAGGATGATGCAGCAGCAAAAAAAGGTAAGGCTATCCTAGCTGCATCGATGGAAGTTTAGTGTTCAAATCAAGAGCAGTCATAATCCGGCTCTATTCTGCCTTGGTCAGAGGCCACCTGGAATACTCTGTCCAGTTCTGGGTGCCACAATTTAAGAAGAGTATTGGCAACCTGGAACCTGTGCAGTGGAGGATGACCAGGATGATCAAGGGTCTGGAAACCAAGCCTTATGGGGAACCTCAGAGGCATGATTCTTACATTGAAAGGGATTGGACTAGATGACCCTTGGGATCCCTTCCAACTTGACAGTTCTGTGATTATATCATTCAATGTAGTGCCAGTTGCTCAGGGAATCTGTTCTCCAGAAGCCTTCACTCAATGCTTTTGGCAAGTCTTTGTCCCATTACATTTGAAACATTAAAGAACATTGCTGTTTGGAATTGAGTTTGGCAGGCAAGCTCCTCTGGGAGGGATCAGATTGATTTCCTAAGTGAAATGAATTTTGGGGAGGGGATTCAGTCTTGTTCAACACACTAATTGCCTGGTAATGTGATTAAATAATCAGTACTTAGGATGATGCTAAGAGCTTGTTTTGGGTGTTGCCTCTGGTGGTCCTTAATATGTGGGGGGCATCTGTGGGCAGGACAGGGATGGATAAGAGCTGTTCAAAAGTGGAACAGATTCCATTGGAAAGTGGTGGACCCTCCTTCATACCTACATATTAAATCTCTGCTTCTTAAATTCAGGTATGATCCCTGCATTGCAGGGGGTTCAACTAGATGACCCTCAAGGGTCTCTTCCAACTCAACAATTCTATTATTCCATACCCACTGGGAACCAAAGCTGGATTCACCCCAACACAATTGCATCAGGTCAGGAGAGAGAGAGAAAGAGAAAAACAGTGACCCCAATAAGATGCACAGTGCAAGAATTATTAGAGCAGGAAATTGCAAGTGATTTAGAAATAATATTCGGGGCAGGATTTGTTGTGGAACCTTCAACTTAATAATTCAGAACTCTGCAGCATTGGAAAGTGAAGTGACACAGGTGAGGAGACAGCACTTTGGGGTTCACTGCCTTGAGCTTTCAAGCCCTTCTCATCCTTCCTGGAATGATTCCCAGCACAGCAGAACTTTGGGTGGACTTAAGAACATAATATGTGAACACAAGAGCCTAACCCAAGCCTGTTACATCAGATCCATGGCCCATCTAGTCTGGCCTCCTGTTCTCACAGGGGGCAAACAAATGCCCCAGTGGGAGACTGTAAGCAGGATCTGAGCACAAGAGCACTCTGCCCTCTTGTGATTCCTAACGATTGGTATTCAGAAGCATTTCTGCTTCTGATCATAGAGACGATCATTGCCATTATGGCTAGTAGCCCTCAGTAGCCCTCTCCTCCATGAAGCTTCACAGAGGCATCTCTGTGTTGTCTGCTCCTGGGCAGTCCTCTGGCGACAAACATTGCCAGCCACACTTCCCTTCTGCTGATTCCCTCTCCCCAAAAAGCCCAGCTGGTAGTCAAGGGTACAGTGTGTCTTACACTGGAGATTCTATATGGCTGTTGCAGCTGGTCATTGTTAAGAAACGTTCCCCCCTTCTCCTTTTCCATAACATCATTTTGTCAGGCAGCAGTAATACAGGTTCACCACAGGTTCAAAGAGAACTAAACAGGAGCCAGCAGTCATTTTCGCGCCAGGGCCCCAACTCCTGGTTTAGGTCGTCTGGGATGCTTCCTGCTTATTTATCTATCTGTTTCTTTATAGAATTATTTGCATACCACTGTATCATGACAATATATATCACAGAGAGGCAGAGCAATAGAAAGTCACAAAACCATACAGTAAAATCATAAAAAATTAAAAAGAAATTAAAAGAAAGAGGATTAACAACAAACATATGCAGACCATTGTGGGAGGGTGTCTTCTTAATTGCCTGCACAGGCCTCATGGAATAGCAAACCTTTCAGCAGACATTTAGAAGAAGACACTCACAAATAGTTGAACTAGGTGGACCCCGTCTGACTCTTCAGTTCTATGAATCACTGGAGGTTTTCAGTTGGAGGTTGTTTGGCTGCCTGTCAGGGATTCTTGAGCTGCAATTTCAGCGGTTGGATCTTGGAGAACCCTTCCGACTCTACTATTGCTTGGTGGCTGGCCTCTTCCAACAGGAGCACAGAAAAGACAATATGCAACAGTCACACAGAGAGACAGACATTCAGGAGTTGCCCCCACCTCACCCCGTCAAGGTTTCCAACCTGGGCCACACCCTGGCAGAGATAAAGTACTGTGAAAGAAATTTCGCCTGTAGGCCAAAGCCTCAGCATACCATCATCAGCCTGATCCAGCAAAAGAGGAGTGTCCAAACCAAGAAGGGGAATTTCTTGGTGGAAAAACCCAGCAGACTTTGCTGGAGGGCAACCTGTCCCATTTCTGTCAAATTCCATATAAGGTATGAGGATACACCATGCAAGGCAGACTTCCAAGGCTTATATTGCTCTACAATCATAGAATTGTAGGGTTGGGAGGGATGCTGAGGGTCATGTAGACCAAACCCTGAAATGCAGCGATCACAGGAAAAAAACTTGGTAACTACAGTGGTACCTCGGGTTAAGTACTTAATTCGTTCCAGAGGTCCGTTCTTAACCTGAAACTGTTCTTAACCTGAAACACCACTTTAGCTAATGGGGCCTCCTGCTGCTGATTTCTGTTCTCATCCTGCTGCTGATTTCTGTTCTGCCGCCGGAGCCTGATTTCTGTTCTCATCCTGAAGCAAAGTTCTTAACCTGAAGCACTATTTCTGGGTTAGCGGAGTCTGTAACCTGAAGCGTATGTAACCTGAAGCGTATGTAACCCGAGGTA